ACAACAATTCCCATGATCCCACGCTACTTCATGACATCATCAAACTTCGTCTTTTGTTATTGTTTCGATGTGAGAGAGCCCCTGATTGCTATCATATATGTTCTAGCTCAAGTTAATCCCTTTGTAAAACATTAACAATCAGAGAATGACATTCATAGAACTTTCTTTTATTATCTAGTTTGACAGTCAGTCAAATTGCTGACATTTAGCCCACTCTGGAGTGAGCTTGGTTAGGGCCAGAGTAAGAATATCAGGGTAAAGCAATCAGAGTCAGAGTAGAGCGGGTCATGACTTCAACATCCTTAGAAAAAAATGGCCAACTGTTTTGGGGCTAAAGAATTGGAGATGATATAGTCCATAGATCCAGCCTCTTAGGCAGTATTGGAGGCATTTCCAATACTGGTATTGGTAGATCAGGTTTAGTTTACTCTGATGTGATCAATATGATGTCTATATGAGTATGATCCATTATATTGTAGATTTACTTTTAAATATCATCAACAGTTAATTATTATATTATTGTGCTTATTAAACTTACACTGCCATAACCTTAATATAATTAAACATGATGTGTTAAGAGGGTTTCCTCTCTGTCTTCTTTGTAGACATACTAATAAGAATCCTATCTACTCCGTTGAAAAAAAACCTGTTAAAGCCAAATGCACTGGAAAAACCTCTCAAGACTCTGTGCAACTCTATGGCTGACCCTTGCACTATTTGCTGAGTGCATACTCCAGAGCGCTCTGCACACTAAGGGATTGGTCATGTACAAGAGCATAAACCTACCTCAACATGTTGATCTTTGATCCCTCTAATCAAAACCTTTCTGCCACCTTGAGCTCAAATATTGCGTTTGGTAACACACACTGTCACTGGGGTTCCACCTACAACTGACAACCCAATCCTGTTCTCACTTTTAACGAAACGCCATCAAAGTAAATGGAGGGAATTAAGTAATTAAGAAATCTATGTGCATGAAATAAACCCACAAGGTCTGAGAGTAAACAGCTCTGTTAAAGGCCTAAACAGCTCTAACCATATCTTAGATATGGTGATGGATGATTGTGGGGCAGCCTCCCGGGCTCAGCAATAAGGATTGCCCACTTGCCAATCGGGCAAGTAAAATGCCACTTTGGGCCAGTGAATCTAACAACTCACTTGCCTGATTGGCAAATGGTGAAAAGAATGAAAGTGATGATGGAAGTAGCTAAGGAGTGAGCCTTCTCACTTCCCTCTCATCTCTGTTAGGAGGTGCTCAAGTGCTGCAGCGATCAGGCACTCGTGAAGATGCCCATGTATACACACAGAGTTGAGAAGTACTTTTGATCCAATTCAATTCAGTGAACTGCTACCTGAGAAGCAGCAGTTCTTCATTCACAGCAACATGCCAACATATATCCTGACCATTCATCTATCTACACTTCCTGTTAATCAACCTGAATAAAACTAAAGATCAGACAAGAAATCAGATAAACTAAAGAACATTCACTTTAAAACTCTTTCTCTTAGTCATCTGAAAACCCTTCACTCCCCTGAGTAGAAAACAACTCATCACACTGTTACTTTGAGCTATGTAGTCCTTTAAGCATGCTAACTGGATTAATAAGCTACTGGACAAGGTGGCTTTTCATTCTCAGGCTTCTATATTTTAGTCTGTTGAACCTTTTCTGATCTTTTAATCATGAGATGCCAGTGTATGCCAGGCCCAGTATACTGTGCACCCCGTTACTGTTAATCCAGTACAACATCAAAAAAACACCAAAAACACAATGATTCTTATTATCGGGTGATTAAACACTAATGAAAACATACCTATGAATATTATGTTCTATTAATGACAATATATCCCCCTAAATGTTACACACTGGACCTTGTGCTACATAATTTAAAGTACATAAGCTACTTTTAATGATAAAAAGTATTAGTAATGGCTATTCTGGCCCACCCCTAGTACCCACCGGGGTTGTACCCACACAGTGCAAACAGTCCAGTCTGTCTGACAATAGAGTCTCCTAAATGTTACACACTGGACCTTTAACTCCCGGTTCCTGGGCCCATCCCTAAATAAAATGATTTCTTATTCATTGCGTTTCAGACAGTGACTTGCGATGTGTTCGCCTTGCATGTTGATATTGCCATGACAATAAAAATACAATTTACCAGTTTACCCTAATAATTATCTGCCACAAGAAAATCCTTTCAGTCAGGCTCTAGTTGATACTTGATCAAATGAGCTGTACTTTAGCGTGCTGTTAACCAATCAGTTGCCATGCTAACATTTAGAATAATGCAAAGCTATCATGCTTACTGTAGCAAGGTTAGAGTAGCAGACTTTAGCATGCTAGAATTAAATTTTAGGTTTATCATTTCATAAATACAAAAATACAGTAAGGTTGAAATGAACTATTGTTACTTGGCTAGCTTGGCTCCTCTTAATAACACGTGAGCTCTCCTGAAAACATGATCTGTGAAATTTTGGGGGGTCTCTAAAATATTGACAATATGCTATTTTTGCCATGTATTTCTATTTATCTGTATCTTCATCATGATGGATCATGCATAAAATTAGGCTATTATTGATGTATAATTCGTGCCATCACCATCGAAGTGTGCCGCCGCAATATCATAAACTTCATTCACATTTTTTAAAAATGAAGACTCACTTTGGTTTTGGCAGTCGTGGTGTGGATGTGTGTGTGATTGTCATATTTAATTACATTCATAATTCTAGGTTTCAGGTCAACATCCAACCAAACAATTACCACAAAACTGAAGGAGCTCGAGAACACACCACGGGACGACACCCACAAGGATAAAGAGCCACTGATGTTAATAGCATATTATACAATAAAAGAGGAGAGAACTGGGCTGGTTGTCAAAGTCATTAGCTCTGGCTCTCTAGAGGATGCTGTTTAAAATGTTGGTACTTAAATATTCAGTACCCCTCTCTCCCTAACCCCACCTGGTCGAGACAGATGACCACCGACACACAGTTTTTGGTTTTTGCCTCTAAAAGTGAAGTTCTTCCTTGTCACTGTCACCAAGTGCTTGCTCATGGTGGGAATTGTTGGGTCTCTGTACATCACTTAATAAGTAGTACAGTCTGTACCTGCTGTATTTGTAAAAGTGTCCTGAGTTACTTTTTATTATGATATTATGATTAGGTGTTATACAAATAAATTGAGTTGAAAAAAATCTCTGTGTCGGCCGATATTGGCCTTGATGTCAGGCATCGGCCTATCAGCAAATAAGATGGCATTGTCTGATATCAGTGGCCGATGTTTATCTGTTGAGTTGTATCAATTTAGTGCTGGCTAAATGTTGTGTTGGTAATTTCCAACTTGGATACTGAAGAAATAATCACCTCAGCTTTCCAGCACTTGCATTAACTGCATGCAAATGCCACAGCACAGACAGTGAACAGCTGTTCAGCTCTGAGTCTCACATCTTGGATGAGAAGACACACAGACTGAGCTCCAACAGGACAGAGGTGCTTGTCTTTCTAGATTTATTTGTTGCCATTGCACTGAAGCGCAAAAAAAGTGATATCTGCCCAATTGCTATTTTCAACATCTGCATCAGTCCATTCCTGCTATTATTGGTTCAGTGTATTGTTCTTTCTATTGTTGCATAAGGATAAATAATGACTTTTCTTGTGTGTGTTGTCTTGATGCAGGAGATGTTAGGTTGTTGCATTTCGATGAAATTAAACTTTCATTGTTTTTTAAACTGTTTTCATTCATTTTTAAGATTTCCTCCATTTGAATTCCCTTAAAATAACATTTTAGCACGAGACAACTAACCCCACAATGGGGATGACGTATTTGATTTTCTTTTCATCACAATGAGTTTATGATCTCTCCATTCCTACCTGACCCTTCAGGCTACCCTTACACATTACAAAAGGGAATCAATGGAAGGAAAAAGTGTGACAACCGACCCCGCTCTCCCCTAAAAATGATATCAATTATTTAATATTCTTCAGTGACTGTTATTGTCATTATTTGGATTATTCCTGGTTGAGTTTTACATTGGTCGGGTCTACAGGAGTGCAGTGTCACTGTGACCTAGCTGATCTCAAGAGCCCTGCTGAAACTGTAACAGGACGACCCCTACACACTGACCCGTAACACCGCCACATATCATTCCACAGGTGTGTCCCCTTTTCATCACAGCCAGCCGGCTAACGACCGCCTGCTCGTTGCCTCGGGACAGCTACTTACCCGCTGTAGTGCGCTTTAATTTTCACCAACTCCGAGTCCAAGTCCATTACGGTTCCGTTTGACGCTAGCATATGCATTGTACAGTTTGGTGGACCTCCCAACTAGCAGCTCAACGTTAAGTGGACGGGCCCAAACTAGGCGTACTTCCCGCTCCCGTCGGAAGATAAAGGTTTACATAACACGGACACGAGTAACGTTTGGTCCGACACTTTTAAACAAAACTTGTCGAGCTACTTTGAAGTTTCTTTCGTTTAGTCGACATTAGAGCCTTCTCTGGCGGAGGAGTTGTCAAAGTGGCCCGACTAACATGATCATTTCCGGCTTTCCGTGTTAAAATAAAACATACTGACAAAAGTATGCTGGAATGGGATTCAGGATTAGGGTCACGCTTTTATTTTGAACCTGAAAGCTCGTGACTTCCTGATCGCTTCCTGGCTAACTTGACACAGTTTCTTATGGCTCACTATGGTTACCGCAATCCAAATTCACCTGTCCCATTATTCCTAACGGGGCGTGTTGAGCCTATAATATTAATGTGAGGAATTATAGACAGTAAGGTCGTCGAGGTAGAGTTTATAACGAACTTACTGACTGTTGCATAATGGCGTTTTTCTTCTACAGTATCTTCACACAGGTGGTGTGTCTACTCACTAATAAATACTTAATAACCTTCACGGTATATTTTATCTCTCCTGTCCTTATATATTCCAGTATAGGAGAAGGTCTGTTTTTCCTGAAATAATTAGTATGTAAACATAATTTAGTATAACTGTTTTTGAACACTGTGTTTAACATTTCATAAAAGCATTCATGGAAAACAAGTCATGTGAGCTGGAGAGGTGTATCACAAGCAGACCCGTGAAGGAGAACTCCAACAGGCTCACACAATGAACATATTTCATGGATACAAGGTGGATAACGCCTCTACTACTATGATGCGGTTGTCAGGCGCCCCCTGCTGGTTGATTAATTAACAACTTCAAGGAAACATTAATGACTCATTGTCAATATAATGATACTTTTAATGCCACATAGACAATCATAGTATAACAACATATATAAACATTGTCCCTCTGCGTTCAACCCATCCTGTGCTAGGAGCAGAGTACAGCACCTGGAGACCAACTCCAGATCTTAGCATGTGCCTTGGTCAATGCCATTTGACCATTCATTTACCATTTCAGACAGCTATTGTCTTGGTAAAGGATAAAAGACTGTAGTTTATTCAGTTATTAGAATCATCATATTTCAGAGGCCTCTGACCCCTCTATGTCCCACTCTGTGTACCAACCAGTGCTTCTATAAAGGAACACATAGAACCCCAGGCTGATGTGTGTCAGTTAGAGAGAAGTTATAAAATGGAATTAGGAACATGAATGATGTCAAATAATAACATTCTTCAACAAGACAGGGCTTCAATAACTGGATATGGTCAGATATAAGAATGGTGTTAATCCTGATGCATCGATACATATGTAATATGTATATGTAGCAACCTTACTGTTGTAGCTGCTCGAGGTGGTGTTAGTTTGAGATTAGTTAGGGATTATGAGATAATTAATGGGGTTCTCTAATCATAAATATAGTAGATAGATTTGTGGTGGGTATGTATGCGTTTGCTCTGGCTCGCCACCATTTTGCAAAATATGGCAGAAGATGAAAGAGATTTTGAGGAGATTCCTAGAAACCCAATGGTGGAAATAAAACAATTTATGGATTTCTGAAGCACCTTTAGAGTTGAAATATCTTCATTTGGGTGCTTTTCCAAGCAAAAATGTATATATGTGATCGTATGTGCCTTTACAGGTGGCATAAATATATGCTGATTTTAATCACATCAAAATGAAGATATCATGACTCAAAAGGTGTCATTCTAAATAAATACATTTGTTTAAGATGTGGCCATACAATAATTTCATTATGTTAACACGTTATTTTTTCTCAATATTCATTCATGTGTTACATTTGACAGTATTTGACACCAAACAGTGGTGGTCAGGCATTTTTATGGGCCACTCCAGTGTCACAGTGCTTATGAGGCTTTACTCAATTTACAGTACTGCACTAAAAATGCTTTTTGGCATGAATTGGATGATTAATTCAAGTATGATACATTGATACATGTACATTGCTCAGGTTGGATATTTGGTCTTTGCCCAATACATTTTGGATGTAAAAACAACGCAGGATCCATTGGGATGGCACATTTCAGGATTTTTTTCAATCTCCACTTTTATGTGTTGCCAGATCCCTGCAGGACAGTGCATAAGATATGTGAATAATCCACAGTCATTGCACATTTCCTCCAACACCGACTGAGAACCTTCATCAAATATATCAGACAGAAAAGCTATGAAACACACACACACATATATATAAATATATTCTGCAATTTATTTGGTGTTTTATGATAGTTAGTGATATAATGATGTTTACATTATACATTGACTATATATATTATACATACACACATTAAAGATAATAAAAATATGACTGTATAAAACTATTACAGGAAATGAGTGTCTCTCATTTACATACAGTATGCAGGTTTTTTTCCTATGTGGGAGGGAACCCACCGGACACGGGGAGAACATGCATTCTCCACAGTCAGACCTTCTGACTGAGAGGCCACACTGCTGCCCAGTGTGCCACCGTGCTGTCCTCACATGTTACTGCCTGCTTTCTAATCACCAAATGATGGTGTCCTCTCAGCAGCAGACCAGAAACGTGGTCTCTGGATGAGAGAGGCAAGTGAAAGCTGCAGAAGCTGCATGTGAGAACCGTCCCTCCTGGTCTGTAGTTCTCATTCCCAACTCGTATTGACGCTTTGTCTCTTTCCTTTTGGCGTCCCGGGCTTTCTATTGACTCTAATGTAAACTACAATACGGCTGTGGATCAGAGGCGGGTCGTCCCCCAGTCGGAAGGTTGTTGGTTCGATCCCCGGCTCCTCCTGCCACATGTCGAAGTATCCTTGAGTAT